ATTTGATTTTTATACTACCCATCTGACTAATGGTCACACTGTACCAATGTGGAACACAATGAAGAAAACTGACAGGAAAAAATCATTTGAGATATGGTATTGGAAAAGAGCTTTGAAGGTACAAAAAACTGCATGATAGATAAATAAGTGGGTTCTAGCTCGAAAGAAGCCTGAGCTCCTTCTAGAATAAAAAAATGACTAAATAGTGGCTATTGTACTTCAGACAAATTGTGATAAGACTCAACTCACTGGAAAAGACAACAGTCCTATGAAAATCTGAAAGTGACAGTACTGTAAATGAGTAAGACTAAGTAAGGGATGGTTTGACTCAGTAGAGAAATCACAACCTTCAGTTTGCAAACTCAGAGCAGGGCTGCTGACACTAGGATCTTCTGGAGGTCACTAATTAATAGAGTTGCCATAAATCAGAAGCAACTTAACAGCACATAACAACAACCGATCTAGAAAATACTTCCTTAACAAAGGATTGACAAGTAGGAAGTGCAAAACCAAATTTTTAAAAAGATATCTAGGAAATTACTTATCCATTGCCCTAGGTTTTTGCCCAGAAAAACTGATGGAAGATATAATTAAATACAGAGTTAATAATGTTCCTGAGGAAGATTCAGCAAAATGTCTTTGAAAACCATGTCAATACGAGTTATTCAGTAAACATTATGTACTTGGAGCTCCAAATATCTTTTGCCAAAGAACTACATTAAATGCCTCAGAGTAAATTTTGCAGTCATCCTGGATACAGCAACTGGTTAAAGGACAAGAAGAAATTAAGAATAAACAGATTTTGAAAGGGACAGAAGTTGGGAATCAGGTATCCAAAGACCCATATGGGCGCTGGTGCAACTGAATTTTCATAAACTCTGGCTTCGCATACCCACTGATTGGATCTAAAATGATGGTGATTAAAGAACAAGATAAATTGGGATTCTGGTAGATAGCCACTGAATTGTCCACTTATTGTGCAGCAGCAGTCTTTCTTTCTTTGTTTCTGTCAGAATCATTGCAGTACAATTAATAAATATCTCCAATAAATTTCTCTTAATAACAGGCAATATGAAGAGCATTTGGGGTAGCTAACATCAAATCTTCCATATGACATGTTGAGGGGCATAGACTTAAACTGACATAGGTGTGAAGTTGCCTGTTCTTCTTTGCACTTGCAAAGGGCTGTGTCAATGGAAAACACCCATTTTTCTCAGTGCATTTTGGTTCTGTCTGCTCCACTTTACTAAGTGACTTCCAGGTGACACTATGGGGCGGTATAGAAGTCAAAACAACAATACTTGAAGCCTAGAGCAGAAAAATTGTCACAACATCATTAACTAAA